AGCCCTCTCCCCATGTCGGTTGTGAGGCAGTACAAGCCATGCTTCACAAACTCTGAACCTATTATATGTAGTGATTTTTGAGGAGATCATGACATCTGGATTTTATCTGTTCATTTTATATATTTATTTTGCATTTGTTGAGTGCTTATGCTTAATCAAAATGGGGCTTATCTCCCTCTGGGAGTTCCATTGAAAAACAGGGTCACAAAGACTCAGCCTTGCATTAAATGGGGTCCACTTTGGAAGGACCACCCTGAACTTTATCAGAAATCTCCTGCTGGGAATCATGTTACTTGGCCTCAATAAAAAGCCGCCTTTGAAGTGAGATGGAAAAAAGGAATACCATTCAGGCAGGATTGATGCCCAAGCTTTCCCAAGTCACTTCAATAAAACCAGTTTCTCATCAGGTGGAAAGGAGCCTATTGGCCTCCTGAGGGTGTGCTGTCAGCTGCAAGGAATGGTTCTGAAGTCCACCGAAGTTGTAAATGCTGACAGATGATAAAAAGTGGTGACACCTGTGCCACAAGCCACTTAGGAATTAATTTGCATCTTAGTGTTAGAATCTTTAGAATTATTTATGTCCCTGTAACTATTTAATATTCTTTGTGCCATGAGGCTCTCCCATGGTTTTTGTAAATATATTTTTATATTTAATTAGCTCCCACTACAACCGGAAGTGGCCAGTTAAACACTAACTGGTGTGATGCAGAGTCTGTGTCCTGTTACGAATGGCAGTGTAGCGAGACATTAGGAAGGAAATATAGTTGTCTAGTGTGATGGAAAGACACCTGCATTTTTCTTACGTGGTCTCTGTGTACAAACAAGACAATCTAGATTTGGAGGGCTTAAAAGGACTTTTTTTTTTATTGAAGGAAGCTTATTTTTGCATTTAATAGTTCCAATATGGACCAATGTCAATTTGGTTTGGGGCATTTTTAAGGCTGAGGCAATCTTAGTGTTTCTCAGTTTTCTGGTGGGATGATATTGGCTTTCATAGTTTATGCCAGACTTGTCTACGCTTGAATTTGCTCTTAGAGACTGAATGGTTGAAACCCTCAAGCATTTGGTAGAACCTCTGGTGGTTTTAGATGGATGCAAACACTGACATCTTCAGAGAATGTTTATCTTGGCACTGATTTGGTTGATGCGGTATTTTTCTTTCCCTCTGACTCTCCATTATCCTCTCTTCACACTGCCAAAGGCATGGAGTGACATACCTTTTCCCTTTCATACAGCCCCGGTAGCCTAAAGACACTTGTTGGCTCTGCATAAAGCCAGGGACGGACAAAGACAGTTACACATTAAAATCTCATAATAGAAGTTTGATTTAAAGTAAAGAAAACAGATTTTCACTCTGTGCTACAACAGTCATCCAAGAGAGATTACCTTTGTCCACAGAAAGGCAAGACTGCAGTAACCAGCCCAGTCCCAATGTCCGTGTCTTCCTCGGCAACTTGACCCAAAGTGCCAACATGGACAGAGCCCTGCCTGCCCATAGGGAAGCCAAGGAGGACCTGGCCTGGCTCTGAGGGCTTGGCTTTGGGAGGTGGATGCCATTGGCAGCCCTTTGGGCACAATGACCACCCCTTGGCTAAAGGATTGTGCCTGTAGGCAGGCATGGAGTATTTCAGACCTCCACCCTGTGTCAGATGCTTCTGGAGAGAGCTTTGTGACTCAGTTGAAAACATTCCTACTTTTTTAAAGTTTGCAGTTTCATCTGTCTTTCTTTAAGCTTTCTTATGATTCAGCCTTGGGTTAAGCCACAGGCGGTCTCTAAGGAGATGAAGCACTAACTCTTCTGTCTGCACATGAATATGAATTCTTGCTTGCAGTGATGGACCCTTGTGTAGCTCCTCCCCCCATATGTCAGGTATATGTGTCCCAAGCTCACCCCTTCTTATAGACTCGCATGTGCTGTTTGGGTGGAAACCCCTCGCCTCTCTGTGTGTTTAGGTGGACCAAGTTCCTAATCTCCGGCTCTGCGGGATTTTCTGTGAGTTGTTCTTAGAACCTGTCCTAGCAGATGGGCAGTGTGAAGGCAACATGTGGCCAATTCAGTGATTCTGGAAGGCACTGGTGATTTAGGTTCCCACTGTGCCATCCGTATTCCGAACAAAGCAACCATGAAGTCTGCATGCCATTGCCTGATTGTCATTTTCTCCGTATCTTCTTTACAGGGAAATAATGATATCAACCAGCTGGCAAAAGGTGAAAACACTTTCTAGGCCGAGGGCTGCTGCCAATTGATTCTCTCAAGCAAAATTAAAAGTTGCTCCTGCTCCAGGGACTGCCATTAGCTTGTGAGGTCTCCAAATACTTTCTTAGTGAAGTTTGTAGAACCCAGGGGCTCTCTCTTTCCCAGGTCTTTATTATTTCATCAGCGCCCACTCCCAGGTCCAGCTAAGCAACAGCCGGTGCGGTGGGAGCAGGGACAGGTCTGGGAGGTGAGAGGAGGCCCAGACTCTGTCTTTGGGCTCATTGAGAGCACTGGACATGGTGACCCACCTGGGCTGTCTTGAAAAAAAAATGTACTTGGTTAACTACCTTCCTATCCTCTTTGGAAAAGTGAGGTCTTGTGTTCTGGAATCCGCTTGAGAGCAGGAGGTGAATGTGGGGACCAGCGTGCCTTGGCGCTCCGGGCAGGCTCCTGGCGTGTGTTTGAGAACCCACAGGTCTGGACAGGTGACTCAGGTGCTGGTCTGGGTGCCACCCTAGAGAGGACGTAGACCTAACACCACCCACCTGGAGCTTTAAACGTTTCTGGCTCTTCATAAAGTCTTGTATTCTCTTCTCAGCAGATAGCACTGAAATTGTAAGAACTGTCTGCTTGAGAAAGTAATTTGAAATATCTGACCCTTTACATTTCTTTTATTTAGAAACTGTCTCTGAAAGAAAATACCCTCAACATCTGTTAGATCTAGAAGAATTTTCTTTTCAAAACTGAATGTTTTGTTTGACTTTTCTTCACACCAGTAAATGGCATGAAGGACCTTTAGGCTTGAAACAAGGAGTGGGTCCTGCTATGTTTTCCCTTCTTTTGTTCCTGATTATATTCTTATTCTATTTGGATATAATTTCTCAACCTTGGGAACTTTTTTTTTTCCTTTCTAGTTTTTAATTATTCTGCAAACATTAAAGAAAAAGATTACCCATAAGCCAGTTGAGTCTGAATCAGTGGCAGCTTGCCTAGAATAAAGTTTAGTTTATGATTCTTTGAATCATCTGTCTTTTTTACAGGCTTAGTTTGTTGTCTACAGTTTTTACACCAAGACTTAAATTCTGGTGAATTGTGATCTAGACGCCGTAGAGTGGCATGTTTTCTTTGGGATGCGTTCTACACCAAGGCAGAGAGCCTTCATTCAGGGGTTAATAGCCTGGACTGTAGTGAGCTAGATCAGAACTGTTGTGGTTCTAATTTTGAATAGGAACTTGTCTGAAATGACTTTAACCAGCTTTGTTGGTAGGATTAGGGAGCGGTCCAGTTTCTTTCTGTACTTGCACTTCAGAGGAGAGAAGGCATGACACAGCTGATTTGACAGTAGTTTGTATGGGATTCAGTGATAGCCTGAGACTGTCAGAGCTGAGTCCTCTTTGGAGGCACTGCTGAAACCCAGTAAGAAGCGCCCCCTTTTATTAGGAAAGCCACCTGAAGGGAGAATCAGGAAATGAGGACAGACAGGGGCCTGGTACCCACACAGGCAGGGCTGGGTCTAGCTGCTTCCCTTTGTGGGCCACTTTGCTTTCCTGCCTTTTCCAGAATCAATTTTTGCAAGTTTCAAGACTGTTCTCCTCTTTGTGAAAGTGAGGAAGGCAGATATTCAGGGCTTGGAGAAAGACCTGACTGGTCCCAGGATGCCTGGCTGGCTCCCTTGGAATGGCCCAGGCCCCTGAGGCACCACCTCCTTCCAACTCTGTAACCCATTTAAAAATGAGTTTTCACATCCTGCCTCCTGATGCAACTGACCTATGTGGGGAAAACCAGTGCTTTTCATAACTTTATTCTGATGTGATTCCCTCTAAGAGAAGGCTAGGGGTCAAAAGTGTTTGTATATGTTGAAATTTTTAGGGGTTCAGGAACCTATGGTGGAAAACACTTAATTATTTATTACAGGTATGAATTTTTTTCCCCAAAGTAGGTAATTACATCTTTGTATATTTTAAGACAGATAATAATCACTTCACCTTTGGTGCCTTCCGTGTGTCAGTCACATAAACACTCTTGTCAATCATGGAATTGAAAAAAAGATGTACATTTAGTCAAACCAGATAACACTATTTTTGTAGCATGATTTTAGATTCTGTCCTTTTAATATTGCTTTCAGCAATGCTGGTTTTGAGGTTTGGTCACTTTCCCTTTAAACTTCATTATATATTTTAAAAAAGAAAAAGAAAAAAACCCTATATCCCTGGCTTTTCCTGTCTCTTCTCTGTTGCTTCTCCCCAGCATCTTATTTCTGCTTATTTAAATGGTCTGAGAGTAAGACTATATTTCTGTGAAATAGTTATTAATCAGTATAACTGCATTTGGTATTTTTTTAACCACTTGTTCAGTCTGAACAGCCACTGGTCACCTCACACAGTAAGAGGAAAGTGGTTCCATTAAAAAAACAACAAAAACAGAACATTCTCGGTGCTCTAACTTCCCCTTCTTTGAGTCTAAAATGGTGAAAAGCCCGTCGGGGCTGGGGAACCAGAGGGCGTTCTCTGGCTGGTGTCTCTCCGCTGTCCCTCCGGCTTGGCTGCAGGTCTCCCTCTCCCTGCACCAGATGGGCTTCCAGGTTAGGGGGCCTCCACTGGTCTCCAGCTCACCTTCCACTCCGATCTCACATTGGTTCGTGGATGCCATGGGTAGGCTCAGTGGCCCTTTCTGGTTTTCAGCCTGAACAAAATAGGCCCCTTGCTGTGAGGAGCTTGCCAAAATGAAGACACATAACAGGCCAGCTGTTCCTTTTGCTTTCCCACCCCTGCAGAACTGAGTTACATACATCTGGTCAAGAAAAATCTTGAGTAAACCAGCTGAGCCCATTGTAAAACGAAGGAATGGATTTACTGAAGCATAAAACTGTAGTTCTTTTTTTTTTTTGGTTGCTTTGAAGGGTCAGAATATGCCATTTTATAACAAAGGAAGTCATGTCAGATGGCTGTGATAACTCCCATGCCATTACTCGGTACTTGGCCCAGTGGTACTTGCGGGAGGGGGGCAATGTTAATTTAATAACTACTACACTTTGCTTCTTAAACGTCTGTTTCCTTTAACAGTGTAGACACAGCTGTGGGGTGTTCTGAGGCAATGCCCTTTTGGCAAACTGGTTTATGCTGTTGGTGGGTCAGAGCTTCCACTCTGGCTTCTGAGGCCATCACACATGTCTGGGGTGGGTACCACCTGGATCCGACCGGCTCTTTGGTTTATCCATTTGGAGTGGTTTGGGGCCCCAAAGCCTTTGCTCCTGTTGGTTTGTCCCTGACAACAGACAAAACTTCACATTGCCCTCAGTTTCCCCCCATTATTTCTTTTGAAGGACCAATTTTTCACGGTACTTGTCCTGATTGTTTTCATAGTGTTTGAACCTGTATTTTTGTATGTAGAGGGAAATAATTTTCTCAACACTAATCGCTGATAAATATTGTATTAAATTGTCATGAAGGAGTTCTTGTTTAATAAATGGACACATAAAAATGGCATTGTCATTTTCTTTGCTCTGCCTTACCTCCCTCCCCTTCAAAGGCTGCTGCCTGGTTCCTGAAACAGGCTAATGGGGTGAGTGGTGAACACAGCCATGGTCAGGGGATGAGGCCTCCGAGGTGTTGCTGTCGACAGGCAGCTTGGCTGGATAGCAAGGTGGAGCAGAAACACCCCCACGTGCCCGTCAGTTCTGCATGTTCTGCTTTCATACGTGTCTCCAGAATGCGCTGTATGTGGAAGTCGGGGCAGAATGCCTCAATCCTTCCCATCGGCTGGGGCCCAAACGCTGACTTACTGTGGATGTTATGTGGGTGAGACCCTGTGCCTCCTGGGGGGACCTAGGCAAGTCCCCAAACCTTCTGGCAGTCTCCTGGACTGGTAAACAGGATCATGTGAGGAGTAAAGAGCACGAAAATGCCTAGTGGGGGCCTGGCCTGGGAGCAAATGCGCGTGTCTTGTTGCCAAAACTTGGAGTTGCCAGGATTCACATGGCGCGTGGGACCCAGTCTGGGCCAAAGCATGATACCTGACAGCGTCGCTCCGGGTGTGTAAGGTTTTTTTTTTTTCCTAAACACACACACTCCAAGCAGGAAGTCAGTTTGGTTTAATCCATTATGGCTTTTTTCAAGGTAGGAGATTCACATGCAAGAGAACAAAGGTTACAAATGCCCAAAAGATAGGTCCAGAACTTGGCTCATTCATGAGGCCTCTAGGGTCACAGGAAATGCCATTTAAGAAGCTGCTTTTGTGTAAAAAGAAAATTATATATAAATTTGCAAAATGACATTGAAGATACATGCACAGCATAAGGTCGTTAGGTGAACACAGAAGGCACATTTCACCTCTCGTGAGAGTCAGACACCTGCTCTGGTGTCTACAAGCACAGTGTCCTGAAGGCCCGAGGGCCCCTCGCCTGCTGACAGCCCTCGGACCCAGGGAAAGAGCGGGTTTTGCTGGGCCTGCCCAGCTGCCCCTGGGGCTGTCACTGCTACTTTGTTGTTTGAAGCCCTGGATTTTTTTGGACATGGTAAGCTAGTCTACAAGCTTTACTTTGAAATAGTCTAGATCCAGAACAGTCACATCACCTGAAGAAGATGTGGTCTCCAAGGATGTGGGGTGTCAGTTATGGGCATTGGGACCCACTCTCTCCTAGGTCATAGGACAAAGGTCAGTTTTCTCCCTGCTTCAAGAATGAAGAGGGAACTGGTGCTCCTTGAACAAAAGAATCTTGGCGGTATCATTCTCGACAAAGTGGCATGAGCAGGGGCACCAAATGCAGATAGAAACCACTGGGGCCTGGCGGGCTGACCCTGAGCTGGTTTCTGCCTTCTTTGTGCACCACCACCCGTGCCCCCCAGCATGAAACGCTTCCAATGATGCAGTAACAAGGCTCCATCTGCTTTGTCCCTTTGTGCTTGTTTTTGGTGGAGAGGTTAAAGGACTTAAGGTTTGTAGGACAGAAATGAGAAGTGGCAGAATATTCACAATGCTCTCATGAGCAGGGAGATTGAACAGTGCTAAGCCAAAGGGTGCCATCTTGTATACTGGGCTCAGGAATGCCACGTTCGGGCTGTGAGGAGGCCGCTCTGTCAGCAACTCCAGCTGCTGCTTGAGAAGTCACAGGCTCCCTGCCAACACACACGATCCCCTGGCCATGCTCCGGCCAGCCTGGTCAGAAGCAGGAGCGGAGGCCCGTGTGGCTCAAGCTGCCAGGGCAGGTCAGCCCTTTAGTCAGAGTCAGAATTAGAATTCTCTTCTGAAAGGAAAGGAAAGAGGATGTTTGGCAGGAGTTTTGGGGCCAGTGGTGCCTGGGAGCCGTCTCTGGGGGAGTGCTTTGAGGACCGCCTTGGGCCTGGGTCCTTCACAGGCAGCTTTTCTCACTTCCAGGGTGCAGCCCAGCGGAGGTGGAGAGCCCAGATGCCCCTTCTTTTGAGGCTCCCGGCCCTCCCATCCCCCTGGGCCTTTCTCACCTGGGGTATCAGGGTTGTACATCTGCCCCCAACCCTACCCCACAATTCAGATCCAGGTGGGACTAGCTATTATCCAAGAAACTAAAATATACTGCAAAATCAGGAAGCTATTTTTTAGCCCTTTTTAAAAAAGTTTCAGTCTCCTTTGCCCCAGGTGTTTCAGTGTCACCTGCCTGGGGACAGCATGTGCTCAATGGGGCGATGTCAGTTCTCTGAAAGCCACTCCCCCCTTGTCTTCCTGTCCAGCCACGTGTCACTGCTGGTCCTGTTCCAGAGAAGCATCTCACCTGGACGGGAGCACCTGCTCTTTATACTTTTTTGTTCCCCTTCCACCTGCCTCATTTCTTCTGCCTGCACACTCCTAAACATCCATCAAAACCCAGCCTCCTGGCTGGCACGTGGGATGGGTGTTCCCTCAGCTGCTTCATTCCTACCTCTGTTAGCTCCCATTTTGCTGTTACAGTTGACATCTACCCCAGGCTCCTCCTGCCCTAGTACGCGCCCCATGTGTACATCACTACTCTGTCTCTGGGTCTAACTCCTGTCTGAGCTGAAGTCCTTGAGGGTAGGTAGTTGGCCTGGCCATCTGTACATCCCTAGGGCCCAGCAAGTGGCAGCCTCAGCAGGTGTTTCGGTCAGCAGATGCTGACACAAGGGCCAGGTGGAATCAGGGGACACCAAGCTGGGGTGAGTTTGGTGCTGAGCCAAACATCGGATTTACTCAGCTGCAGGGAGCTGACATCTGCCTCTCCATTTAAAGTGTACCTGTGGGTGTGGAGGGGGTGAGGCAGATAAATGGACTCTAGGCTACAGAGCCATGGAGCTGGGCCCTCCATTCCCAGGGAAGCTCCGGGGCTTCCTGGCATTTCTGTGTTGGAGCCTCCACTGGCTCCCTTCTGGGCAGGAGAGCCCTGGGCTGTGGCTGAGGATGGCCTGAGGGGAATCACAAGCTCCAAACCAGCTGTGGTCCCTCCTGACACACACCTGCAGGGCCGTCCCCACCTTGTGCCTCTCCCTGTGCTGGGGACATGCACCCTGAGGACATGACACGTTGGTATGGCTATGTTGTCACTAATGGAAAAACTAGCCATCCAACTTGCAGTGTTATTTTTTAATCAGGTTACATGGCCAGCAGCCACTCTGAGCTGAAGGATGGCTTGAGGGGCCAGAATGTCTATGGCACTTTACTTAGTTATGAAAAAACAGAACAAGCCTGAGCTTGTCTGGCTTTGCCTGGGTGCTGTGGATAAGATTGAGAGCTTGGTTCACTGGCCCTTAGGCCAGGGGCAGGTGAGACTGGGGCGAGGGGGCTGCTTTGATGCAGGTGGCCACTCTGCAGCCCAGTGGATGGCACTCAGGGAGTTGAAGGGTAGTGACTGGCCGCCCTAGGGGCTCGCAAGGGAAGGTTTCATGAGGAAGAGGTGCTGGGGGTGCCCTCAGCTTGCCCTTCCTGGAAAGGCTGAGGCCCCGGGGAACCCTGTGCTCCCCGGAGGGGGCTGGTTTCATGCTTAGTGCTGCATGAAGGGATATGAGAACCAGGCTGTGAAAAACACTTCCTGCCTGTGGGGTGAGAGGATAGGCTGTTACTCCAGCCTCAAACTAGCCAAGTGTCCCCAAGGGAGAGGAGGGCCCCAGCAGCAGTAGTCCCAGGTGATCACAGGGTGGCCACCCACCTTCTGCCTTGTCAGCTGCGGTCTCGTCTGCGGAGTCTCCTTGTTTGAGGAATTTGGCCATGTCATTAAAGATCAGGTAGAAGTCAATTGCAAACACAATGGTGGCAAAGAAGCCAAACACCTGTGGGATACAAGAGACGGGTGGATGGGACACATTGTCTGGAGCTGGGTGCCTGGGAATGGGGAGGGCCAGCCCGAGAAGCCGCCGCCCCAGCCTCGCAGCCTGTTTTCCTCTGCTTGGAGAGACAGCTTAGATGGGCGTGCATAGATCACTTCCATTAATAACAGGTAGGAAAGTGAGCTGTTAACTTGGTTTGGCAAATAGCCTTTTCAAACTCTGGGCAGAGTAAATCAGAGGACTTTAGAGTCACTGAGACCCATGTGAAAGCCCAAGGGACCCAGCAGAGGCAGAATGTGCCCCAGGCGCTAAGAGGGGCACCCACTGAGGAGTGGGGTGAGCTTGAGGGGGCAGCACTGGGCACCCCCCTCCCAGTGGGTAAGGTGCTACTCACCCCAGCTGCTTTGGAAGCCCCATCCGAGTATTTGGCGACAGCTGTGATGGAGATGGCGAAGTAGATGAGGGCCGCTGTGACACAGCGTAGGAAGTCCTGGGGAAAAGGGCATGGCCACAGGCCCCTGAGCTCCCTGGACTGGGGCACAGCATGGGGAGGGGGCCACTGGGAGCTGAGGCAGGAAAGGGGCTCAGAAGGGCACTGTGTGGCAAGAACGGGGCGGGGATTTCACCTTCAGAGGGACACACACCCGGCCTTCCGGTCCAGCATCCATAGGGCTCCCACCCTGTCCTGGCCCCACCTGCACTCCCTGGTCCTCCTAAACCTCTGCTCCTGCCTCTGCCCAGGTGCCTCGTGCAGGCTGCCGTCCTCTGCCAACTAGACAGCAGGGTATGAACCAGGCCACAGCTCCCTGTGGCTTCGCTGGGATGCAGACTTCCCCATTTGGTGGGCAGGAAGCTGGAAACCTTGTCACCTGCTTCCTCTGGTTCTCCAATGGGGGGATCAGGCCCTGGGCCTTGCTTTGCCACATACCTGTGGCAGATCTACTTACGTATCATGGTTTCTGCCTACCCGTCCCTAAAATGGGGATGGGGGTGCAGCCCATCAGGAAGAATACTGGATGTGAAGTCAAGAGACCAGGGTTCAAGTGCAGCCTTTGCTGTCCCTTCTCTCTGACTCGTTTCATTCAGCAAAATCTGGAGCGGGTATCTGGGCGATAAACAAGTTGCCAGATGGCTGAGGTCTGGAAGACCTGCAAGTCCTCAGTTAACCTGCCCTGCCCATGTGGAAATGGCTTGAATTCCTGCGACTGAGGCTCATTCTGACAGGTCCAGTTGGGAGCACCAGTGCCACCTGATGGCCAGGGCTGAGGATGCCGTCTGGGGTTCACAGCCTCACAGGGACACTGGAGCAACCACATGCTCTGGGTCATAGCTGCTGCGCGGTGGGGTCTGGATTATCTGAGGCCCTGTCTACCCACAAGGCTCCAACCAACTTCAAGTGGCCCCTCTAGAGCACTGAAGAAAGAGAGAGGACCAAAATGTATGACTCTGATGGCCAGTCAACCCTCTCCTCCTGGGTCCCCAGCCCTCACCATCATGGGCCAGAACAAGCCCTGCCACTTGTCATTCAGCTGCATGGCATCAGCAAAGAGGAAGTAGAGGGCCAGCAGGAACTCCAGCAGGGGCGCCATGAGGAAGGCAGATGCTGAGGATGCCACATAGCAGATGAAGGTGATGAACGAGAGACCCTGGAAGGTGGGGGAGAGAGAAGTCAGAGCCTGTGTACAGCCCCTTGCCCAGTGCTCCTCCAAGCCAGGCCCTGCAGTCAGGAAGAGAGGTGGCTCCAGCCAGCGTAGTGACCTGCCCACCGTCCTGCAGCTGCAGGATTAGAACCCCATCAGCCCACACCCATGCTGCCCCCAGTACTTCTGGGCATGGCCCCGCATCCTGACCTCAGGCTAGCTCCCTGCCAGGATCCAATCAGGAAGCCCCAGAGCCTCCCATGTGTGTTCACCCTGCCCGAGGAGGCCACCTCTTGGGGCTGCCCCACCTCCATCCCAGCAGGCTCTAAGGTGGAATCGACCCCACTCAGATGGTGCCCAACAGGGGAAAATCAAACCTAAGCAGTCTCAAAGGCAATCCACTAAGCAGGAGACAGTTTCAGAAAGTTAAACCCAACACCCAAGATTTGTGCTTTTCACTGAATGAAAAATTTACTTGGAAAATAATACACAAATCTTGCACTTTAGTTAATAATATGCATGATGAAGTGTTCAGAGTTGAAACATATCAATGTCTGCAATTTACTTTGAACACATCAAAGAATAAAGTGGATTGATAAGATATATTAAAAGCAAATATAGCAACGTGTTAACAATTGTACAATCTAGATGGTGGGTATATGGGTGTTTATAGTCTAACTCTTGGCTTTTTAAATATATTTGCAAATTTTTACAATAAGAAAGAACCATCCAGGAGAGGGGGTGTTGACACTGACACTTCATGCCCTGCTGCAGCATTCGTCCTGCCTTTGTGAAAGGTGGGGCGAGGTGTAATGAGAAACTGATTAAGAATCAAAGTGTTTTCTGCAGCCCTGTCCACACACTATGGGTGGCAACTGATGCTGGAGGATGCTGAGGCCCCCAGTTAGTTCTGCAGACCATGTGATGGGGCTGTTCACTGGGCCAGTGCCCACTGAGGCTTGTGGGACCTCCTCTGATCTTCACTACCACCCATGCACCAGGTGCTGTTCACAGCCCACTTTGCAGATGAGAAGAATGAGGTTCAGAGGGATGAAGTGACTTGCTCAGTGTCATGCAGCTAAAAAGGGGCATCAGAATTTGGACTCAGGTCTGGCTGACCCCAAAACTGGAGTTCTGAAGCAACCCTGCCATGGGTATGCTGGTCTTTACCTGTTCTGGTTTTGGTTACTGTGGCTGGGTTTGAGCACATCCATGGCTGAGTAGCTCTTAGTGGGGTCCTGGGGCACCATAGGGATGATGCCCAAATGCCCCACAGGAAGCACTGCAATGGTTTCAGACATGAGCTGTAGAGATCCCACCGTGTAATCCATGGCACCCACATCTGTCCTGATCATGGCTGTGGAGGTAGCTGAGCCCAACCTGAACAGGTGGGAAACTAAGGCATAGAGATGTGCTGAGAGACTGCCACAACCTCTGATGAAGGCAAGGCCACTGGACCCTGGTAGGGCTCTATCCTGTACTTCCTTTGTTAAAGGTTGTTCTGTGTCCCTCCTCTTCCTGTCCCCTACCCTAAAGCCTGATTTGGGGGATCCCCCTCTAGATTCTGTTTCCCTGATTTTTGGTGGTGACTTCCTCCCCCTTCCTGCCTATGTCAGCCTCAACATTTGCTTGGTCCTGGGGGCAGCCAGAGGTGACCATAGAGAGGCAGGAGTGACCTAGGGTGAATCCCCTTTCGTCTTCAGTGCCCACCCCTCACCCTTCTTTCCTCCCCTCTTCATCCTCCTAGACTAGATTCCTGATAACCAACTACACTAAAGGCCTCCTCAGTGCTCTGGCCAGCACCCCTCCCCCCACCCATGAGGTGGGCCTGAGCATGGTATGGCTGGGGTACCCTCAGTGGAGGGTGAATTCAAGGCTTCTCCGCAAAAGTGGCTCCCATCAATCTCCAGGGTGCGACCCAGTGGCCAACAGAAGGTGACTCCCTGGACTGTGAGCTGTGAGTCCTGGGCCCTGATGTCTCATCTGGGAGTTGGGCAGGTGCTGGGCAGGTGCTGGGCTGACCTCAGGGGCAGAGGAGGTGTTAGGACCACCTCCTGCCATCTGCCCTGGGTGATACAAAGGAGAGGTCAGGAGCAGACTTCTTCCTCTGATCCCACGTCCGTGCTGTCACTTGGCCCTAAACTGACCCATGTCAAATCCCCTAGAGGCTGGGCCTCAGCTTTCTTGTCTGCAAAGTGGGAAGGACAGGGATTGTCAATTTGCTGGGGATCTAAGCAACAAATGCTCCTCCCTCTTTCCGCCTTTCCTCCGCCTGGTCTCTTCCTCTCCTTCCCTCCGTGAAGGCCCAGCACCAACCCACCACCCTACACGCCGACAGGGACAGTGCGGGAGTTCTGAGTGTCCAGAGGACAAAGACCTGACGGGCCACGGTGGGGCTTGCGGGAAGGAGGAAGGAGCTCAGCGGGGGCGGGAAGGCTGGATTCTAGACAGGGAGGGGAGGAGGGGGATGAAGTCACCCTGCTGGGCTCCTGCCCCCGCCCCTCTGCAGCCTGGGTAGGGGTGGGCTCCCAACGCGCCCCACTAGAGCCGCCCCGGCCTCACCCAATCCCGGGGGTCCCCCCTCCCAGCTGGCAGCACTCCCCTCCGGCTTCCGCCCGGCAGCTCGAGGCCCGGTCGGTCCTCCCTGCGTCCAAGAAAGCGGGCAAGGGCGCCAAGAGCCGACCCTAGCCTGCGACCCGAGGGTCGCGAAGGACCGATTCTTCCCGGGTCTGGCTGGGGCGTTGGTGGGAGGGTTTGAGAGCCGGGCGCCCGCAATGGAGGTTCGCAGATGAAGGGAAACAGCCCATCCCAGCGGCCCAGAGAGGGCGGAGGTGCCCGAGGTCACACAGCGCGGGGCGGAGCTCCCGGGGCTTCCAGCTCCGCGTCGGCCGGCCCCCTCCCCAGCCTTGCCTGAGGCCCCCCAAATTCGGGTTAAAGCACCGGGAAGGCCTGGGTTCGGGCCCCGCCCCGCCGCAAACCCGCGGCTGAGCTTCCGCGAGCCCGTCCCAAGTGGGTGAAGTTTGCCCAACTCTGCTCAACTTCGCGGGGCTCCGA